CTTGAGGCCGAGACAAAATAGATTCACTCCTTACATCCACCCATTCTTCTCCACTTTCAGTCCTACTAATATACTTCCCACCCCTCTTAACGTTTTGATTTGTTTTCTAAATTGTTTATTTTTTCTTTTAGTCTATAGGAGTCTGTTTCACAACGTATTGCTTCTTCCAATCTATATAATAAATGCGAATGTAAGTGTGTCACTGTGACATACTTTTTCAACTTTACTCCTAGAGGGCGTAGACCAACATATTGTGGACTCTTCCACAACAAGCCAGTTAACCCCTGCTAGGAAATGCACTATTCCTGTTGTATTTTTCACCATCACAATCTTACAAAATATATAACAAACATTCATTGGTTAATCACCTTCAGTCTAGCTTGCTGATTGGTCAGTTCCAACCAATCAAATCGCCTGCATGCGACAAATCTGTTTTCCCGCTCAATATGCTCGGAGCCGCCCACATGATACATGACCTTATAAAAACAGAACACGTGTAAACTCCCTCGTGTTTCTTTCTCTCTCTATCGCGCGCGCAAGCGCGCGTCTCATTTGCCAAGATGTAATCTTCAAGAACTCCCGTCTTAACTAAAGCAGTCAGACGTTAAAGACCATTACCAACATTCACGCAAGTACGAACTTTGAAATCTCTTCTGATTTTTTACCAACTTGTACAATACACAATTCCAAACATGCTAAAGAAACTTTATTCTTCTAAACTACTTTATGAACTTCGGTACAAATATTACCTAATCTAAGAGACACAACTCTGTCTAACCTTTTCACTCAGTATTCATGCATGTATATCAAACACTAATAAATTCAATTGTTATGTTTTGAAACAAGATGTTTATGAATCTTTATTCTCTATCCTGTAATAATTGTTGTGGATGGAAGATTATTGAACACACACAATTTTAAGCCTTTCTGATAATTCAAACCTTCTATTCCTCTCCAACACACACATCACACACATCCGCAATAATATCATACCATACTGGGATCAAGCCAACTCCATGAGCAAATTAAAAAAAAATTCCAGACCAGATCCGAATGCACAATCCTGAAATTTGGGATTCCCAAGTTTTCATTATTGCGATCGTTTTCGGCGATTTTTTTACGTGATTTTTTGCGACAAATTTTTCTTTTTTTTTTTTTTGTGCGATAACAATTTTATAACTTGGAAATAAATTTGAGAATAATCTAAATTAATTACGTAATCCAACGAAAGTCAACCATAAAAATAAAATTAATTCTTTGTACGGAAGGTAAGGACCTACGTACATCAAATTCTCTTTAAATTAAATGGTGGCAGAAGAATTATCGTTGAACTTTTAAAAGGTAAGCTTAAATAGTAATGCAATACTTAAATGCAGTGATCAATTTTGAGTTCTTTTGAAGCTTATTGTTACCTATCACATCTCCTCCTCCTCTTTAATTATTGAGATAAAGGCCCAATTAAGAGACCTCCGCAGGAACTTAAATTCCCACAGGTGGGGCGGCTTTTATGTCCGGATTGAACTTCCTCCTTACTCATGGAATATGCAGAGGATGAGGATGATTGATCCCAGTGTACGCGAAGATCAAAAACTGAAGAATGTAGCTAGTTTAAGATTTACCATCAAAATAGCAATAAAATAATGATAGCTTTTTGACGTCTTGTCTGTGGGGAAGGGGTTGTAGTGTAAAAAATAATTCATCAACCACAAGGCCGCGTACACGCTTTTGCACTCTATCAAGTGAGGACTCGGCTGTTGCTGCGTATATGTGACAATATTACCGCATTTTTGATTTGATCTGTCATTTGTAATAAGAGAGCATAAAGAGTGGATACTTGCTTTGGGACAAAGAAGCGACCATTTTACCAGCACCTTTAGCGATGAGTCGTATGTTTGAGTACAACATGAGGTGTAGGGTGAGCCTGAGTCTCAATGGACGTTCAAAGAAACGACTCTTTGAGAGAACAACTATTCGTCATGGTTGGTAAAAGTTCAGTGCCTATTCTGTAATGCTAGATTGGCTTGATCTTCATAAATTGAAAATAACGGATCAAAATTCAGGTATTGTGTCATGCTTATTGATTCTCTCTTATACACACATGTTTTACAAGGATGTTTGAGGTGTGGATAAATGTACTCAGTTGACCTCCGCATTTGAACATACATCTGTAATATCAGTGCACTGTGATACATTTATATTTGGGGAGAGAAAAGTGCATCCTTACAGCTGGCAAACATATGTTCAAAATATTTTAATTTAATGATCATGGAGGGCAAATTATCTGAACAACTTTGATTGATATTTCTGGAATATTACAAAATTTAAAACAACGTCTTACAGCGGCTTACCGAATAGAAACTGCTTTTTAGCTGAACCTTTTTTTATTCTACTCGGCGGATTTTTTAAAAAATTTTAATTCCAGTTTTCAACAAGAGCCAAGCGAGAAGTATCTTACAAAATAACTCAATGCATATTTCTAATGAATTTGAAAATTCATGTTTTCCATTTGAAAGACAAATGAGTTTATACGCATTCAGCGGTAAACACAAAACAGATGCCTTGAGAAAAAATGCTTGGTATTATGGCAGGTAGGGAATGAAAGGGAGAAAAAAAATGGAGAAGTCAGAGAAGGGAATGAAAGTAAAACAAAGAAGGAAAGAAAATGAGTAGAAAATGAAGGGAAAATAACAACGAGAGAAAAGGGAAAGATAGAAGAATGAGAAAGAAAGTTTGAAATGAAAACAACACTATTAGAAAGAAAGAAAGAAAGAAAGAAAGAAAGAAAGAAAGAAAGAAAAGAAAGAAGCAAAGAAAGAAAGGTAGAAAGAAAGAGAGGAAGAAGCAATGAAAGAAAGGAAGAAAAATAGAAAGAAAAAAAGCAAGAAAGGAAGAATGAAAAAGATAGAAAGAAAGTGAGCAAGAGACAACGAAAGAAAGACAGAAAGAAAGAAAGGAAGGAAGAAAAATAGAAAGAAAGAAAGAAAGAAAGGAAGGAAAAAAGAAAGAATAAAGATAGAAAGAAAGAGAACAAGAAGCAAAAAAAAAGAAATCAAGAAAGATAGAAAAAGAAAGAAAGAAAGCAAGAAAGATAGAAAAAGAAAGAAAGAAAGAAAGAAAGCAAGAACGATAGAAAAAGAAAGAAAGAAACATAGAAGGTAGGAAGGAAGGAAGGAAGAAAGAAAGATTGTTGTGGAACATCCTAGAATTAAAAACTTCTTTCTAATTTTCTATAAATCGACACTACAAAGTAAGGATTAAATAGACAAGATTTTCTCAGTCTTTTCAGAAGGGAACCTGATGCTTACCAAATGCCGACTGAATTCAAAAACGTGTCATTAAGGCATATTTTCAATGGATTCTTTTTATGGACTCCAAATATATAGATGGAAACAGTAAAAGAAAAGAAGAAAAAAGCTTAAGATTTGAGTTAGAATTGGAAGAATGAAGTGATGGTTGCGAAAGAACAGAAGTAAGAAATAAAATGCGGAGGAAAAGAAGGAAAATGGATGAAAAATGAAAAGAAAGCAAAAGAAGAAAACTGAAATAATGCGAGAAAGAATGAAATGTAAAAGAAAAGCAAAAAGTAAAATAAAAAAAAAGAAATTCAGGGAAGAAAAAGGAAAGCAAAAAAGAAAGAAGAATTTAAGGAATTATTTAAAAAAAAGAAACTCTGCAGTTATCAAAAGGAAAATATTAGAATCTAGCTTAAAAGCCGCCCCATCTACTACGCAAAATTCTTAATTGTGCCTTCATCATAATAAGTAAGGAGAAGTAGATGTGATAGGCAACAATAAATTACGGAAGAAATCAAAATTTAAGTATTGTATTAATATTTAAACTTACTTTTTAAAAGGTCAACGATAATTCTTCTGCCACACTTAATTTAAAGAGAATTTGATGTACGTGAGTACTTATTTTCTGTACAAACAGTTATTCTTATTTCATGGTTGACTTTCGCTGGATTTCGCAATTAATTTAGATTATTCGCAATTTTTTTTAATAGATTGATATCGTACAAAAAATAGCCGCAAAAATCACGTTAAAAAAATCACGGCACACAATCTCAGTCAAAAAAAGGAACTTAGGAAATTCAAATTTTAGGATTGCGGGTTCAGATCCTCTTCGGAATGTTTTTAATTTGTCCACGGAGTTGAGTTGATTGCAAAATGGAGAGTATATATTGGTCTACACCCTCTAGAAGTAAAGTTGAAAAAGTGTGTCACAGTGACACAATTACATTCGCATTTATTATATAAATTGGAAGAAGTATGTATGTATTAATAATTATATATACAACTACGTTCCAAGTGTAACTTAAAGTTCTACCCACTCCTCAGGACACGAATTATTACTTTTGATTTAAAAAACATTAAAAAAAATAGTGTTTTATTTCTTTTTATCAAAATGATGAGTTAGTAGAACCTCATAACTTTAAGTTGCACTTCATACTGTTCATATATGTTTACGTTTGTGTGTGCTACAATGCGGGAACATTCGTGTATGTATGTTTGCGTACGTATGAGTGGCATTCCGACAATAATTTTTCCTTCCATTACCATAAAAAACATCGATATACGCAAACATATATAAAGCCAAAATTTAAAAAATAATCAGTTTGTCTGACGATCGAAAGTAGCGTGAAACACATTGATATTGAGCCCTTTCTAATAAGAACCGCAAATATATAATATATACGTAATATATATATAAAATGTATATATATATATATATATATATATATATATAAATATATATTTAGATTTATATACATACAGATTATATATATATATATATATATATATATATATATATATATATATATATATATATATATATATATATATGTATGTATGTATGTATATATATTAATGCATGTTTCATTAAATAGTATAGACAAGTTTTGTCTAATTATTTTAAGTAAATTCCTTTCATATTGTCTGATAAGCTTAAATACATTATCATTGAAAGACGAAAGGAAAACACCATATTGATACGTGTTTAAATCCAATCTAAGCTTTCGGCTTACATAAGCCATTATCAAAGATGACAATTTCAATCAATCAAACAACACACGGACGAAACAACAATGATAGTCCGCCCTTGATGCATGAAAATTTTCAAAGCAAAGACAAATTCGTGTATACGAGACCCGGAAGTGAAAATCGCGTCGCAGCTCGTGACGTCACACATAACCACGCGAGAGTAAAAACGGGAATTATTAAGTATGGGAAGCCGTTAGTATAAACCAATGGCTTCTGTTATAAATTATAGGCATTTAAGAATATTTGTGGAGATTTCATAGTTTATTTTGTTCAGGTTAGGTTTCAACAGTTTTATGTATGTAGCTTCAAGAATTTAAAATTTTTGTTTATACATACACACACACACACACACACACACACATATATATATATATATATATATATATATATATATATATATATATATATAATGAGGGAGATGCTTTGTTCACTTAGGTGTTGAATACCTCTTATTTTGCATTTTTTTCATCATTTATTATATGATGTACGTGTGTCATTCGATGAACTGACTCCTTTTTCAAAATATATATCTAATTATTATGCTATATCCTATTCGCTCGTATTAGAGATAAGATGCCAAATATGGATGTTTCAAGCCTCTTCTTTGTTTCACTTTTTCCCACATGCTTCAGTCGCATGATTTCTTTGAAACGCTTTCTGGTTTATTCTCTCCTTTTTCATCATCTTTCTCATTCATTCGTCATTCTGTTCACTTCCTCCATTAAGAAATGGGGACCGATTTTTTTTGACGCAATGTAAATTTCTTTGTGACAAATGAATTTGTATTCAGAAGTATTTTTAGGTTAGCATCGCCATGTTTGCTTTGTTTTTAGCAGAAACAACGACGCTCTTTTTTTTTTTTAATCTTCGAATGCTGAATAGAACGCATTTTTTTTCAAACATGGTAGGTTGTTATCTGTCACATCTAGAATACTACTTTTGGGATTCGTAACTGTCATGTATTTGTTTGTTTTTTTTCTTTTTTGTCTTCTATTTTTTTTACACTTTGGTATTGATCTCTTCCAGCGCCATAATCCCGACCTTGCGTAGTAATTGGCTTCAAAAATCTCAAGCAATGAGTCAATTTTTACGCAGAAATGATAATTTACGCCTGCTAAGCCGAGTTTTAAAACTTACACCAGAAGATGTTTTTTTATATTTCAGAGCAATGTTAGCCTGAGAAAAAAATTCAATTTACAAATTTTAAATTTTAGCGTTCCCACATCTTCAGCATTTTCTTCGAGGTCCAATGTAGATTAAATATAGATCGGGATACAACAGAAGGATAAGATAAAGAATAAGGAAAGTCTGTACAGTCCCTCACATAAGTTTTTTTTTTTTTTGGATGTATGTAATGAGTATCCAGATAATTTAGTTGGAATCAGACAAGAAGTGTCCGGGGTTTTCTTGCCTTGAATTTCTCAGTGTTAAAGAATAAATGTTTCTATTATGACCTGAAAAACGAAAAGAGTGAAATTTGCGTTGACTCACGTGTTAACGACCTGTCTATGTGAACTGCTTGACTGATAGTGAGAACGTCACGTGTTTGTGTGTGAAGAGGGGAAAAGTGGGGTCGATTTTTAGTGGTTTAAAATGAATTAATTGATCAGAATTATAACTGTTATAATTATTTTATTATAATTATTTTTGACATTATAATTAATTTTTATTGATTTCTATCATGGACGTTAGCCTTATGAATATTCGTAATTCGATCATTAAAAATAATCAACACAAAATAGCCTTTGTCTTTTATAGTATATATATATATATATATATATATATATATATATATATATATATAGAGAGAGAGAGAGAGAGAGGGATCGATAGATAGATAGATAGATAGATTAAAAGAGAGCTATATATCCTTTTGCATGTGTGTCTATTAGTGCATGATTCTGTGTTTTTGTGTGGTTAATTGAGTAAAAACTATACTAGGTGATTATGCTGTCGCTAACAAGCTCAGACATTTGTTGTGTCGTTTGATTAATCAAACATTTAGTGATTGAAAAACTAGACAACCGGAAGAGGCTTGAGTGGTTAATCGACGAGAATTTTGCAAATAAAGATCCGTCAGCCATGTCCTAATTTTGCTCACTCCACGTTTAACACACGCACACACACAAACATGAACATAGGAACACATACGCAAACACTATGTGCTAAGAATTCACATAATATAAGTCAAGAAATTAATTTTAAGAAACTTTAAATCCAACTCGGTAATAATTCATTTCAGAGCGAACGTTTTAGAAAATTGCTCTGTTACTTACATTGTGCTCTCTGTGGATTAATGTCCTCGCTGGAATTATCCCTAGCAATTACCAATTGGCATTATATATATATATATATATATATATATATATATATATATATATAAATCCTGAACTTAGTTTAGTTTAGCAAAAGGCTGGTGTTATGATGCACTCTCAGTGAATATCAAACTCACTAGCAATAAAAGCAATACTAATTTATTATATATATATATATATATATATATATATATATATATATATATAATTATTATTTATAAAAAAATTATAACATAAGTATGTTATAAAATCACTACAAAAATTGTCTGTGGATGTATGTATGTGTATCTATCGGTGTCTGTGTATGTAGAGTGTATTCACATTTAACTGTGTGTGTGTATAAGTGTTGGTTTCCACGTTTCCTTTTTTCATAAAGGGCTGTAGAGATGTTCATGTCTCGGCCCTTTTTGTGTGTGTGTGTGTATGTGTGTGTGTGTGTGTGTGTGTGTGTGTGTGTGTGTGTATCTAATTATGTCTGGGTGCTTATGTATTATAATCTGATTGTGTTTTGTTGTTTTTGCGCGTGAGTTTAAGACCACATTCACACACTTTAAAATAAAAAGGAAAAGAAAGGGAAAAAGAAAAAATATATACATGTATTGTCAAATGACCGGATATATTGTAGCGTCTTGTCGAACGTAATTTCAATGAAGAAATGAATTGAATAAACATATATATTTTTTTTTTCTCAATAATTTTGTAGTTTTTAAACTTAATAGTGATTAAATTTGGATTTTAAAATTGCCAGTTTTAATTTTAATATTAAATTTTATCATATAATTTTATAATCATTGGTTAGTATAAATTATTTTTAATATTACCCGTATTTTAAAGATCTGAA